TTTCATACAATTATTAAATAATTATGAAAGCAATAATACACCTGAAACCTATTTCTAAAACTCATGAATCTTTAATGAGGAGAAAACAAAGGAAATCACTACTGTGACGGTGGTTTGGAAATGTGTTCTTAATTTGCATTAAATTCCGTAAACTTTTTCTTTGATTTTCTCCAAGGAATATTCATGAGTTTTAGAAGTAATTTGAAACACTTGAGAGAGTTCTTCCTTTGATTTCCAAACACCTCAAAGTCAGTTAAAAATACTTGGCTGCGCCTTTGGAAATCAAAGGAAGAACTCTCTTAAGTGTTTGAAACATTACTTAACGTATTTCACCTGAACCTTTTTTACACTAACGTATACGAGTTCTTATCCTCAGGAACAAACCTACAGCGACTGGCTGGATTCAGAGCCTGTCCTTGTCTGGATAACTACTTCCGTCTGGATCGTTTTGGCAAATGCGCAGCATGTCCAATTGGATATCAATGCAAAAACGAAACTATCAACTTACTTCCTGGATTCTACTGGATTTGGAAGAGTAAAGAAAACAAACAGAACTACATCATGTTTTCCACCAAGCTACAGGAAGAACACAAAGACCTTAACAATAGCTGGCATACATTTAATGGATCAATACCGAAGGCCTATCCTTGTCCATTTATTGGATCGTGCAAGGTAAGATAAGGAAACCGTTAATATGATATAAATGGTATTTATAAATTTGCAACTGATGAAACAGTGCATTTTCCAATCAAACATATTAACCATCACATTGAAATGTTGTAAAAGCATGAAATTCTTCTGAAAGTGTCTACCGCTATGAATTAAGGGTATCTACGTTTGTGGATATTTCAGGGAGGAATAGATAGCAAATGTTTCAATGGATACGAAGGTCCTTTGTGTGCTATATGCTCTAAAGGCTATTACAGGATGTTCTCTGGATGCAACAAATGCCCAACTTTATATCTTTTTGTTGGCCAGTGCTGTGCTGTAGCAATTGTGGCTGGTATACTTGTGTTTGCTATAATCAAAGACAARAAGTCTAATCGTGCTAATAGACGTTCAGTAAGTGACACTGTCTTCAGTAGTTTCAAGATTGTGATTGGATTCTACCAAGTGACAAGTGGTACTCT